TGATGGTAGGATTGCTGGTGTCTTTTTTCTGTCTCATAAACATGCAAGATTTCAGGTACGTGTTGCTACTTCTACTTACACTTAGGTCACACTACACTTGTATGTACAAGCATATACATGTATATACACACCCCTCTGGGTTTTCTTCTATTTTCTTGGTAGTTCTTGTTCATTTCCTCTTATCTTCATAGGGAAGTGGAACAATTCTTTCCTGTAAGCCATGTGTGTTGTAAGAGGCGACTAAAATGCCGGGAGCATGAGACTAGTAGCTCCTTCTTTTGTATATATACTAAAGTCATAAAAAAAAAAAAAGAGAAACTTTTGGTTTTCTTTTTGGGCCACCTTGCTTCAGTGGGATACAGCCCATTTGTTTAAAAAAAAAGTTTCAACATAATGTGTATTAATATAGTATGTACATCAAATCTGCCTCTAAACTTAGAATCATAAACTTAGAAAGATACAGAAGCTTAATCTCATTCAACTCTGCATTTGTATTGTTTGTATTCTAGAGTATCATTAAACAGTTTTGGGAGACGACCGACTTGTTGAAAAAAAAAAAAAAAAAAAAAAATAATAATAATAAATCAATTCAAGGGCTTTTCAGCCAACTAATTATTATATTGGTAGCTACAGCTCCTTGAATCAAACTTGATTATCCTGCATTCCTCAGGCACCGTATGAACCTATGGTTTTAATGTTTCCCCATGATTTCAATAATCAAATTATAACTATAAAAGGTTATAAATGACAATTTTTATCATTAAATTAAATGATAAAACATGCAAAAATAGCACATTACCTGTATTACAAGAAATGAACTTGGATAATAAGGAAATGCTGTATTTTATGAAAATACTTGCAAGTGTATGGAATAGGAAGTAACTTACTAAATACTGTAAAGAGTTTTTATGAGGATAGTGAGCTCAGGTTATGGAGTGTAGGAGAGAGGGAGACTACTTCCCAGTAAAAGTTGGTCTTAGACAGGGATGTGTAATGTCACCATGGTTGTTAAACATGTTTATAGATGGGGTTGTAAAAGAAGTAAATGCTAAGGTGTTGGGGAAGAGAGGTGGGATTAAATTATGGGGAATCAAATACAAAATGGGAGTTGACACAGTTACTATATGCTGATGATACTGTGCTTTTGGGGGCTTCTAAAAATAAGTTGCAAAAGTTAGTGGACAAGTTTGGGAGCGTATGTAAAGGTAGAAAGTTTTAAGTGAAGATAAGACAAGATTTCGTTCTGATTTTTAACCCCGGAGGGTTAGCCACCCAGGACAACTCAAGAAAGTCAGTGCGTCATCGAGGACTGTAATTTATTTCCACTGGGGTCCTCAATCTTGTCCCCAGGATGCGACCCACACCAGTCGACTAACACCCAGGTACATATTTGCTGCTAGGTGAACAGGACAACAGGTATAAGGAAATGTGTCGAAATGTTTCCACCCCCCGGGAATCAAACCCGGGCCCTTTGTGTGTGAAGCGGTAGCTTTAGCCACCGGGCCACACAGATAAGAGTAAGGTTATGAGGGTATCAAACAATTTAGATAAAGAAAAATTGGATATCACATTGGATGGAGGGAGTATGAAAGAAGTGAATGTTTTCAGATACAGTGGAACTTCAAATTTCGAACATATCACTTATCGAACTCTTCGAAAATAGAACCCTTTTTTTGAACCAACTCTGTCCCTATTATCGAACTTGCCCCTATTTTCAAACCACCGGGTACCGGACCTGTCCAGCAGCCCGCTCTGTCCATATCCCCATGCAGGCGCCGTGAGCCAGTCTGGTATTGTTGATGCTCGAGTGAACACTAACCTGCGATCTCATTCAAACATTTTACGATTATTTCATTGTGTTTAGTGCTCAAGAGACTGTGAAATAAGCTACAATGGGAGCAATGAAACTTGCTAGTGGTACCCCTGTGGTAAAGAAAGTGAGAAACACCATAGATGTGAAGAAGGAAATAATACAGAAGTGGAATGATGTCCAAATGTTTGTGCAGAAGTACCACCCTGAGCAAGCTGAAACAAGCCATCTTTACAACAAGTTCAGTGACAGAAACATGTCCTATTTTAGGGAAATCTTAAAGAGGCACCAGAAACAGAGGACTGTGGACAGTTATTCTGTGAGACAGGGGTCCAGTGACTCTCAAGCTGGTCCTAGTGGCATTAAAAGACAGAATGGAAGTAACCCCAGAGAGGGCTTTGATACCTGAAGTTCTCATGGAGGGGGATTCTCCTTCCAAACACTAATCCCAACTCCCTCTCTCCTCCTCCTCCCTATCTTCCAGATGCCATCACCAATCTTCAATAAAGGTAAGTAAAATGTTATTTTATATGTTTATTTAAATTTATTAATACATAATTGAACACTATTTGTTGTGTGTATGTAAAACTAGAATTAATCTCTATAAAATGTATTTTTGTGAATATTTTTGGGTTTCTGGAACGGATTAATTGTATTTCCATTATTTCTTATGGGAAATATTGTTCGCTTTTCACTTTTCGAATTTAGAACTGGAACGGATTAAGTTCGAAACTTGAGGTTCCACTGTACAGTATTCGGGAGTTGACTTGTCAGTGGATGGGTTTATGAAGGATGACATTAACCATAGAATTGATGAAGGAAAAATGGTGAGTGGTACATTGAGGTAACTGTTTACCTGGAGACAGTTTCAGGGGTCAACACCCCCGTGGCCCGGTCTGAGACCAGGCCTCATGGTGGATCAGGGTCTGATCAACCAGATTGTTACTGCTGGCTGCACACAAGCTGACATACGAACCACAGCCCAGTTGGTCAGGTACTGACTTTAGGTGCCTGTCCAGTGCCATCTTGAAGACAGCCAGGGGTCTATTGGTAATCCCCCTTATGTGTGCTGGGAGGCAATTGAACAGTCTTGGGCCCCGGACACTTACTGTGCTGTCTCTCAGTGTACTCGTGGTGCCCCTGCTTTTCATCGGGGGAATGCTGCATCTCCTGCAGAGTCTTTTGCTTTCATAGGGAGTGATTTTCATGTGCAGGTTTGGTACAAATCCCTCCAGAACCTTCCAAGTGTATATTATCATGTATCTCTCTCGCCTGCATTTGAGGGAATACAGATCAAGGACCTTCAACTGTTCCCTGTAGTTTAGGTGCCTTATTGCACTTGTGTGTGCCATGAAAGTTCTTTGAACACTCTCCAGGTCTGCAATGCTGCCAGCCTTGAAAGGGGATGTTAGTGTACAGCAGTATTCCAGCCTAGAGAGCACAAGTGATTTGAAGAGAAACATCATAGGCTTGGCATCCCTAGTTTGGAAGGTTCTCATTATCCATCCTATCATTTTCCTAGCGGATGAGGTAGATACATTGTTGTGGTCTTTGAAGGTGAGATCCTCTGATATTATCACTCCCAGGTCCTTCACATTACTTTTCTGCTCTTTGTATGGTTAGAATTTGTCGTATACCCCAACACATTTTTAATTTCTTCAAGTATCCCATATCTGAGTAGTTGAAATTTCTCCTCGTTGAATTTCATATTGTTTTGAGTGGTCCATTCGAAGATTTGGTTGATGTCCACTTGGAGTCTCATAGTGTCTTCGATGGAGGTCACTGCCATGGTAATCCAGGTGTCATCCGCAAAGGAAGACACAAAGCTATGGCTTACATCTCTCTGTCAGAAATGAGGATGAGGAATAGAATAGGAGCGAGTACTGTGCCTTGTGGAACATAGCTTTTTACCATGGCTGCCTGGGACTTTACTCTGTTTATTATTACTCTTTGTGTTCTATTTGTCAGGAAGTTGTAGGTCCATCTACCAACTTTTCCTGTTATTCCTTTATCACGCATTTTGTGTGCTATTACACCATAGTCACACTTGTCGAAAGCTTTTGCAAAGTCTGTGTATACTACATCTGTATTTTGTTTATCCTCTACAACATCCAGGACCTTGTCATAGTGATCCAGTAGCTGGTACAGGCAGGAGCGACCTGCTCTAAACCCGTGTTACCCTGGGAGACAAAAAACGCTATGCATGGAGGCAAAGAAGGGAATGTACGAGAGTATAATAGTACCAACACTCATATATGGGTGTGAAGAATGGGTTGCAAATGCTGCAGCAAGGAGGCAGCTGGAGGCAGTGGAGATGTCGTGTCTAAGGGCAATGTGTGGTGTAAATATTATGCAGAGAATTTGTAGTGTGGAAATTAGGAGGTGTGGAGTTACTAAAAGTATTAGTCAGAGGGCTGAAGAAGGGCTGTTGAGGTGGTTTGGTCATTTAGAGAGAATGAAACAAAGTAGAATGACTTGGAGTGTGTACAAATCTGTTGGGGAAGGAACGTGGGGTAGGGGCCGTCCCCGAAAAGGTTGGAGGGAGGGGGTAGAGGAGGTTTTGTAGGTAAAGGGGTAAATGAGGTTTTGCAGATGAGGGGCTTGGACTTACAGGAAGCGTGCACGAGCATGTTAGATAGGGGTGAGTAGAGACGAATGATTTTTGAGACCTGACAAGCTGTTGGAGTGTAAAAAAAAAAAAAAAAAAAAAAATTAATAATAATAATAATAATAATAATGATATTGTCGCTGCCCTTCATATGTCAAGTACTCATAAGACACTAGGTGTCAACAAAAAGCTAGTTTCATGGTAAGTAAGATGCATAGTCAACATTTAAGCATCTTTATTCAGGAATAAAGATGCCTAAATGTTGCCTGTGTGTCTTACTTACCAACTTGTCGGTATATTATACTATTTTGATATTCAGCTAGTTTCATAATAATATAGGCTATGATCATTTTTTTATACACTTTCCTGGTGAATAAACACATTTTTGAGTCAGGCTTGTATATGTAAAAAAAAAAAAGAAAAAAAAACTAACCGATTTATTGGAACTTGTCAGATGTCCTGGCACTTGTACTGCATTAAAACTTCATTTTATAGAGTTGCTATCAACTCAATGTGAATCCCTCAGGTGCAATGAAAAAAATACTTATAAAAAGGAGAGCCTGTCCTGGAGTTGGTACTGACCAGTGTATCCTTGTATGCAGAGACACTTAAAGTGGCCATCATCTGTTGGTCTACAAGAGCCTTGGTTGAGACATGGGAGAGAGGCACAAGGGGAAGCAGAGCACTCGCCCACATGCTCTGCCTTCACAACATGTGGAGAGCCAGGCCAAACTAGGTCCAGGGGTCGCCCATTGATCCTCACTGAGCGCAGACACCCCACTAGTCCTTCTGTTGTCCCTGCATTTTCCCATACCCTAAGGAAGGAATTATGTACACTGTTAGGAGTCCTGGACATTAATTAGGATATTAGAAGAGATGTTAAATTAAGTTACAATACCATTATTATTGACGTAAATCTTACATCTATAAAAAGTACTAAAATTAATTAGGTGTTTTTCAGATGGTGCATTATCCAAGAGAGGTATTTCCTGTAACCCATAACCACAGCCTTCAACTCCCTCAAGACACTTAGGAGCTATAATTCAAGCTTCCCAAGGGATTCAGGAGCTCAACACCTTCAAGCTCAGGATATTGAATTCAACACTTTCAATAAGCCTCTAAAGGCCAAGCTGTAGATCATCACCCTCAAAAAGGACAGGAGTTCAACACAGTTAAACAGTCTTAATAAGCTTGACTAACAAGGTTTCCCATGTCTGTCGAGTTTGACTATTATTACTGCACTGAGTGTGTTGGGCACTTGCAGGAAAATCACAGAAACCATTAACTGACGCTGCAAGGCTTACAGCCATACTCCAACCAAAAACAATAACAATTAGAAGTTTGAATAGACCTAATTTTCCTATAAAAATAAATACAAATAAATATCTTGATCCTCGGTGGAAGACGGTGGCAAATTAAAAATAAAAATAAAAATATCTTGATGCCTCAAGGAAATAAGTAAAAATATTATTTTGTGTAAAATTAGGAGACCTGGTCTGGGACTGAGCTGGGGAGGCTGGGGGTACAGTGAACCCTGAAAGCATCCTTCAGGTAAATATGGTGATCCCATTTTTTTAATAAAATTAGCAAACTGGCACCTACAAATTCCAATCAAAATCCAAATTTCATACAAGGTAAGATACACTAGCATTAAAAGCTTAAAAGATATAAAGAGGCATTTCTAAGCACTTGGGTATCTGCAATATTTCTTAGCAAAAGAGCTAGCTGCATTATTTCTTAGCATGGAAAAATGACTATTTTTGACAGCTAGTGGTACCTGCACTTAAGAATGCAAAGAATAAAAGCACTATTTATGAGGTTGAAGGGTAGCCACACTATTTTTTGGGTATGAAATGTAACTACAGTATTTGAGCAAAAGGGGTACCCATGTTATAGTATTTCCACAGACATCATGATTTCATTTATCTGAATGAAAATGATTATAAACATGGGGGAGTGCTAAGCCGGTAGAATTATACAACGCATGTGGGGGAGGGGTGATGGAAAGTATTCTGGAGCACAGATCCAATTCCCTAGATCAAAAGCCCCTCACTAGTATCAAGGAACCTCCCTTGAAGGGCTCTGAATGAGCAGCCATATTAGCTGCATATAATTTGCAAGTTTCTGAGTGTTAGGGGTATAATACTATTTAACAGCATGGAGAGTAACTGCATTATTTCTGAATTAGATTAGATTTTGCCATCGAAGTGGCTAGTTTATTGTGCACCCCATATCCATCCTGTGGACGGTAGTGCAAGAGCATATAGTTACACAAAAGGCCTAAGAACTAGGCCCCAAAAAGGGTTAACAGGTGTACATGTGGATTTATATCTACATATCTACAGTTCACTTATCTGTTACAAGCAAATTTAGGAAATTTGCTTAGTATATCTCCTATCTTATTTTCATTAATAAGATATCTTGACATGTCACATAGGTTATTATACTGTTTATCTCTGTATTCCTCAATAAGTGGACAATTAAGCACATAGTGTTCAAGACAGTGACCATATACCTGATCACATAATTTGCATTTAGTTTGATCATCATCTGTCTCTCCCAAACTGCCAGAAGTACCTGTAACCAAGCCTAAGCCTGGCCACTACAACATCAGTCAGTTTGTTCACATTGCAAGAGCTCTTTAGTCTTACCGTCTTTCATTGGTGGGAACATAGCCAATGTACGTTGAGCCTCGAAGGTCCAGGCTCTTGAGGTTTCCCGGAGCCTTGCCAATGGCATCCTCAGATTCATCTAACTGCAAGATACCGTCTCTCTGGTATCTTTTGGCCACAACCTAAAGTAGGTAATTTAAACATTACTATGCATGATAACTGTACTTACGTGTACCTGTGCCTAAATAAACTTACTTGCATAACTCCAAGTGCAAATGAATGTCAGTACAGCTCGTAGAAATCAAGACCATGTATATACATGACAGTATATATACCATACACTTAAACATGACTTAGGTATGACAGCATAAACAGCATACACATAATCATGACTTAGGTATTACAGCATAGATAGTATACAGAAACATGACTTACTGCAAATGAATAAGTAAGCTTTTCAGATTTGTAGGTCAGTTGTAAATATTTTCATACTGGTAATATTTCAATTGAAAAAATATATTATTTTACAGTGAAATGAATGCAATAAGCATAATTTAAAAAATCAGTGGAAAGTAATTTATAAAATTATTTGCAAAATAAATAAATAATTATACAAAAATATAAGTTAATTTTAAGGCTGCCTGAAATGTTCTGCATCACCAGGGGGCTTTTATAAAGTATCCCAATAATTTCAATTAATCCTGTATCAACTGTATACCATATTTTTTAGAAAATGATATTATCAAAGTACTGTACCTTATTGTAACAATAAAAGATCTAAACCCACAAGAGTCATTCAGCATTGCATGGCACATGAAAAAATGCATAAGAGAATAAGTGAAAGTAGAATTACCTCTGTGTGTGTGGTGAAGGAAGGGGGGCAGGGTCGACTCAGAGCTTCTGGTTCTGGTGTGTGTACTCACCTAGTTGTACTCGCCTAGTTGTGGTTGCAGGGGTGGAGTCACAGCACCTGGCCCCGCCTCTTCACTGGCCGCTACTGGGTCACTCTCCCTGCACCATGAGCTTTATCATACCTCTTCTTAAAGCTATGAATGGATCCTGTCTCCACTATTCCACTTCCTGACTACTCTGTGACTGAAAAAATACTTCCTAACATCTCTGTGATTCATCTGAGTCTTCAGCTTCCAACTGTGTCCCCTTGTTGCTGTGTCTTATCTCTGGCACATTCTGTCTCTGTCCACCTTGTCAATTCCTCTCAGTGTTTTATGTCGTTATCATGTCCCCCCTATCTCTCCTGGCCTTCAGTGTCGTCAGGTCGATTTCCCTTAACCTCTCCTCGTAGGACATACCCCTTAGCTCTGGGCCTAATCTTGTTGGTAACCTTTGCACTTTCTCTAGTTTCTTTACGTGCTTGGCTAGGTGTGGGTTCCAAACTGGTGCCGCATACTCCAATATGGGCCTAACGTACGCAGTGTACAGGGTCCTGAACGAGTCCTTATTAAGATGTCGAGATGCTGTTCTGAGGTTTGCTAGGCGTTTATATGCTGCAGCAGTTATTTGGTTGATGTGGACCTCAGGAGATGTGCCTGGTGTTATACTCACCCCAAGATCTTTTTCCTCGAGTGAGGTTTGTAGTCACTGGCCCCCTAGACTGTACTCCGTCTGCGGTCTTCTGTGCCCTTCCCCAACCTTCATGACTTTGCACTTGGTGGGGTTGAATACCAAGAGCCAATTGCTGGATTAGGCCTGCAGCCTGTCCAGATCCCTTTGTAATTCTGCCTGGTCCTCATCCGATTGAATTCTTCTCACCAAGTTCACATCATCTGCAAACAGGGACGCTTTGGAGTCTATTCCTCCCGTCATGTCGTTCACAAATACCAGAAACAGCACTGGTCCTAGGACTGACCCCTGTGGAACTCCCACTCATCACAGGAGCCCACTCTGACACCTCGCCACGTACCATGACTCGCTGCTGTCTTCCTGACAAGTATTCCCTGATTCATCATAGTGCCTTCCCTGTTATCCCTGCCTGGTCCTCCAGTTTTTGCACTAATCTCGTGTGGAACTGTGTCAAACGCCTTCTTACACTCCAAGAAAATGCAATCTACCCACCCCTCTCTCTCTCTCTTGTCTTACTGTTGTCACCCTGTCATGGAACTCCAGTAGGTTTGTGACACAGGATTTCCTGTCCCTGAAACCATGTTGGCTGTTGTTGAGCTCATTCCTTTCTAGGTGTTCCACCACTCTTCTTCTGATAATCTTCTCTATGAATTTGCATACTATACATGTCAGTGACACTGGTCTGCAGTTTAGTGCTACATATGTCTCCTTTTTTAAAAACTGGGACTACATTTGCTGTCTTCCATACCTCAGGTAATCTCCCTGTTTCGATGTGTTGAATATTGTTGTTAGGGGTACACAAAGCTCCTCTGCTCCCTCTCTCAGGACCCATGGAGAGATGTTATCTGACCTCATTTCCTTCGAGGTATCTAGCTCAATCAGCAGCCTCTTCACTTCTTCCTCGGTTGTATGTATTGTGTCCAACACTTGGTGGTGTGCCCCACCTCTCCGTCTTTCTGGAGTCCATTCTGTCTCCTCTGTGAACACTTCTTTGAATCTCATGTTGAGTTCCTCACATACTTCATGGTCGTTTCTTGTTGTCTCTCCTCCTTCCTTCCTTAGCCTGATTATCTGGTCCTGGACTGTTGTTTTCCTCCTGATGTGGCTGTATAACAGCTTTAGGTCAGATTTGGCTTTTGCTGCTATGTCGTTTTCATATTGTCGTTGGGCCTCCCTTTTGGCTCTACAACTGCTCTCCTTATTCTCCTGGGTCCTTTGCCTTCTATACTTCTTCCATTCCCTAGCACACTTGGTTTTTGCCCCCTTGCACCTTTGTGTGAACCATGGGCTCATCCTATCTTTTCCATTATTCCTGTTACCCTTGGGTACAAACCTCTCCTCAGCTTCCTTGCATATTGTTGTTACATACTCCATCACCTCGTTTACTGACTTCCCTGTCAGTTCTCTGTCCCACTGAACCCCATTCCCCATTCAGGAAGTTCCTCATTCCCATATAGTCCCCTTTCTTGTAATTTGACTTCGTTTGCCCGGCCCTTCCTGCTTCCCCCTCCACTTGTAACTCTACTGTGTATTCGAAGCTTAAAACTGCATGATCGCTAGCCCCAAGGGGGTCTTTCATATGTGATGTCCTCAATATCTGCACTACTCAAGGTGAATACTAGGTCCAGTCTCACTGGTTCATCCTCTCCTCTCTCTCTGGCAGTGTCCCTTATGTGTTGGTACATGAAATTTTCCAGTACCACCTCCATCATCTTAGCCCTCCACGTTTCTCGGCCCCAATGTGGCTCCAAGTTCTCCCAATCGATTTCCTTGTGGTTGAAGTCACCCATGATCAGTAGCTTTCCCCTGCTTGCATGAGCCCTTCTGGCCACTGCAGCCAGTGTGTCAACCATCACTATCATACTCTTGCCTTGGCCTCCTGCTCTTCTGTGGGTTATACATCACTGCAATTACCACCTTGGGACCTCCAGACTGAAGCATTCCTACTATGTAATCTCTTGCTTCTCCACAGTCTCCTCTCTCCAGTTCATCAAAATTCCATCAGTTTTTTATCAGCAGTGGCACTCCTCCCCCCCTGTTCCCTCTGTCTTTCCTCAGGATCCGATATCCCGTTGGAAAGATGGCATCTGTTATCATGCCTGTGAGCTTGGTTTCTGTGAGAGCTATGATGTCCAGTGATGCCTCTGACTCTTTCATGCCATTCCTCCCACTTGTTATTCCAACAGCGTTTGTGTACCATACCTTCAGTTTTCTCTCCAACACTATTTTGGGGGGTCTGTGATGGTGGGGGTCCTGTGTACTGTGGGATTTTATAGCCGAGTGTTGGGTGGGAGCTGTGAGTGTGGATTGTAGTCTGTGTTGGGATAGTGTGATTGGTTGTGGGGTTCTGGGGATGGTTCTGTGTGTGCTTGGTCTTGTTGTTCTGCCCTGCTCTGGTTATCCTCTGCTGATTCTGTCCTTGTCTCTCTTCCTAGCTTCTTTCGCTTTTGTGTCCTCTCCCTCAGCTGCTGTCATTTTATTTGTGTTCTGTCTTGGTCTAGGAACACCCTCTTGTATTCTGCTGAGTATTTCAACCATGGTTTCTCTTGGAGGATCCTGTTCCACACTGTTTCTGTCCTGAAAATCAGCTTGATCGGTCATTTTCTTCCCTTCAAGTACCTCCCTATTCTCTGAAAATTTACAATCTCAGACATGTCCTCTTCACCTATTTCTGTGATGATGCTCTCAATCTTCTTTCTGCCTCCTGCCTCTCCTGAAGCCCATGAATAAACATTGACTTTGCCCTCTCCTCTGCCTATTGCCTTTCCCTCTGTGACTCTGGTTCCTGTCTGTACATGGCTATTTTCTTCCTTGTTTTTTCCTGTAGCTCTTGGTAGCATGGTCATGCCTCTGCATTTGACCTAACATCCTCTCCACCTGCAACCAGCTGCTCTCCACCTGCACCCAGCTGCTCTCCACCTGCACCCAGCTGCTCTCCACCTGCACCCAGCTGCTCTCCACCTGCACCCAGCTGCTCTCCACCTGCACCCAGCTGCTCTCCCCCTTCACTCCTTGGCCCTGCTTGGTAGGCTAATATGGCCTTAGCATAAGCCATATCTCCTTCCTTCCCATAGGGCCTCCCACCTTCATATGCTGTGTCTTCTCTGGTCAATACTCTTGATCGACAGTGTTAGTTTCACAGTGAGCAATATGTTGTGTTGTCGAGAAGACAGAGAAGCTATGTCAAGTGTTAGTTAATTCCTCTCAGTGTTCTCACATGTTCGTGTACGGTGTAGTGTCGATTTTTGCACAGAAAAGCGTCGTTTGCTAGTAAGCCCTGTTGTACCACACGTGCAGTGCGGGTGTGTGCAGATTTCAGTGTGTCCTGTGTGCTCCTGAGCCCAGCTGTGTGTGGACCACAGGTCTGCACCTGGACCACTGTGTAGCACCTCTGAGCCCCTTGTACAGAAAGCTTTATATGTTCACCGCTCGTAATGCCCATTGAGATTTACTTCACTTCACCTCCTGACTGTCAGAATGCAGTTATATGTAGACCAGTCTGGGGACACTTAGACTAACCTCTGCTGTAACTCCAACTGCCGAGAGAATGACACTTGTCAAGTCGGAGTTAGCCCTGTCGGCAGGCGCTGTGTCAGCCTCG